CCCCACGTAGTACTGCATAGATGTTCAGGACTTGTTCGGTAATCGGAGCTTTTCATAGGAAGTCAAGATACAACTTTTTGTTTGAAAAAATGCTATTTGATATTGCTGACATTTTGGAAGGCACCTAGAACACTTAATTCGAAGACCAGAAATCGGACAATTGGTATAGACATATCCTAATAACACCAGCCAAATCGAATCTCTATTCCTCATTATCTGAGCAATCTTGGTAATTATCGTGAATCACAAATTAGAGATATCCAGTACATGCACAACTGCCTCATAGTAGTATACGGATCATCATATTGTCAAACCGAGCCATCACAACACTGATTTTCTAGCTTGTTATGACTTATAGCATTGCAGCGCTAGTGCGATGTAAAATGAGCAACCTGAGTAACAACGCTCATCGGGATTGCCAATGAAACCATGAGTTTTGAGCCAAACTTGAAGCAGTCAGACCAACAAGAGTATGCATTTTTGTTGCTTTTCATGTGGACTCACGCTGGCAATATTTTCGTCTTTTCCTGTAATTAGTGGTGTTGTGCTATAGGGGAAATTTAATATTCGCCATACCGTAAAGCTCAAATATGCTTTGCATGAAGTTGTTGCGAGCAAAACGCTCCCTCAAATTGCTGTACCCGTGCACGAGAACTGGCACTTGCGAAAGTCGATTTAATATTTTCAGCGGCATAAAAAATATCTAGTCTTCCCAAGGAATTTTTTTTTTGCTCTATGATTACTGATAGGAGGGATGACAAGTGTATTCCATTCTGAGCATTTATCCGTGCTTGGGAAGATGAGAATTGAAAAGCGAATTTTAGACCTACATGTTTACGTACGGACCCTAACATGTTCATAAAACTCCAGTTCCTTGCTTGGCTTGGTTGCAGAATAAATTTAACGTGGCCCTGGAATGCAGCAGCAGCAACAGCACAGTTTAGAAAGGGGATCTGTCAGTTGTTGAAGGTTGTGCCGAAAAAAGACTCGAGTTATGAAAAGAGCCTTCGCACTGAAAAGGACCCTCAGTTCGGGAAGCCAGACGGACTGAAGTGTAACGGACGGTTTCAAAGTTTTGAGCGTAGTCGAGATTGGAGTAAAGATTGAATTTGAGCTTGCTGAAAAGATGGATTTGGATCTCGGAAAAGAAGCTACCGAAAGATAACTGGAAACAATACAGTGCGAAGTAAAAGGAAGAAACAAGGAAGAAAAAGGATGAAAGAAAAAGATTAGGAGCTCGGGGACCGAGCTCAAGCGAGCGGCGGCGCGTTGCAAAGGAAAAAAAAAGAAGGAGCTAGAAAAAAGGAAGCGAAGTTGGAGGCTCATTCCCCTTCGTCTTGTGCAGTTGCCCTTCGGTTTCCTGTAATATGTATATGCCCCGTCTCTTGGCTCGAGTTCCCCCCTCCGTGATATTTAATGCGATAATTGAGAATGAAATTGTCAGAGTAATTGTTTTTTTGGGCGGCGGCTGGGAGTGTGTAATTACCGGTTTTTTTAGGACGGCTGCTGAATGTGTGCGGCGAAA